AATTCGAAACACTCTGAGCCCAAGCATTCCCCAATCCTCCACTTCGATCCCGAACCACGACAGCTCGTAGTTTCGGGCTTCGGCACAACTACCCTAAACCCTAAACCCTAAACCCTGAAGCCCTAAACCCCTGAAGCCCTAAACCCCATAAGCCCTGAACCCCCTAAACCCCTAAACCCTCAAACAGCCCCACGAAGCCGATCCAAGGCTAAGAATGGAGGGGGAGGAGTCTAGGGTGCTGAACCCTCAACCCCTCAACCCCTAAACCCTTTAAATAAGCATTTCGCAAGATTTTTCTGAAGAGCTTTGGGTTTTGGTGCTTCGGGTTGCTGCGCTAGTAAAGATAGCGCTTTGTGGTTTTAGGGCATCAAGCATTTCGGTTTTGTATCCCTGTGCTGTGCTCGTTATGGCTGAGATCTCCTTGCAAATGCCCCCTCCATGACAGAGACCGTTATCAACAGACATGAAGTCCTCATTGATGCAAGGATTAGGGGGCAAGGCTTCATGAGCTATGGAGCTCGGTAGCAGAGCATTTTCAATTTAGTGCTTGGGGCTTAGGGTTCAGTGTTTCGGTTGTAGGATGTGAGTTTCAGGGTTTAGGGCTCAGTTCTATGTTTATGCTTGGCGCGACGGAAGACCCGAGCAACATGAGCCCAATGACCTCAACCAGGTGTTAGTAGAAACCGGTGAATCTTCGAGCTCCCCCAAACCCTAAGCCCGACGGTTTAGGGTTTAGGGGGTTTAGGGTTTAGGGTTTAGGGTTTATACCCTCAAGCCTAAACCCTTATAGACGCTAGATCCTGAAGAAATCATAATGCCTGAAACCCTAAACCCTTGAGCTCTAAAAACTCTACAATCCTAAACCGTTACAAGCCCGAGGCCCTTGTTGGCTCTGGGGCCGTTGCAGTAGCCACCGTGAGCTTCACGTCGATGTCTGGGTCGACCTGCTATCGGAGAATCGGAGGGGCAAAACGGACAAATACAGAGTACTTCATATGGAACAGGGTTTGAGGGCAAGGTATAACACGATTATACTTATATCACAAGACACCACATACAATATAAACCTTGCCTTACCCAAAATAAGGTGAATATCCCATAATTCTCATAGTTTAGGTCCTTAAGGTAATGCAGGATTTAGATCATCAACAGTATTACGGTGTAGTTTCTATTCAGCCCTATACCCCGGAACCCTCCAAGGAACCCTTACAAGAAGGAACCCAGAGGGGCTTCTAATGTAGGGGCCTTAATACTTAGAATAGGGTTTTGGGGTATGTTTGTTTCGGGTTTAGGGTTTAGGATAATTTTAGTAAGGAGCCATAAGGAATCATATTGGTAATTACGCAGGCTTCTGCACTACATTATGTCAAGCGTTCTGCACGGGAAGCGGGCCGGTGAAGCATCGGCAACGACGAAGGTGCAGAAGTCTAGGCGCACACTTTGCCTGGGAATGCAAGGGTTTGAGGGTTTAGGGCTTTAGGGGTGTAAGGCTTAAGGGCCCCTAAACCCAAAGCCCCTGAACCCGAAACCCCGAAACCCAAACCCAAATCACCCCTGAGATCTGAAGACGAATTGCCGCGCACAGAGGGAAGCAACTCTTCGTATTTCCCGCGTGGACCGGCTCGGGGTTTCGGGATTTAAGGCGACAGCTGGGTAGGGTTGAGGGTTTAGGGTTTAGGGTTTAGGGTTTAAGGTTTAAGGTTTAAGGTTTAGTGTTTAGGGATTAAGGTTTGGTTTAGGGTTTAGGGTTTAGGGTTCTTGTGAAGGCTCGCATGTTAAGTTACCATAAGATGGAAACCCTATTGTTTACTGTAAACAACTATTATTATGGCAACTTAAACTGAAATGAAGTCCCTTAACAAGAGCCGAGGGATCATGGGCAATAGTACGCCGCTTGTATCTGACGCTGTCTATCATGACGAATTATGACCTTGACTTCGCTAGGGGTTCATCCGTATATACCCATACAGTACACGCTTTGCCAGGCCGTAGGTTCTAGGGCCAGTGGATATGTAAATAACGGAACACGGACTTGTATGTTTAGAACGTCGGTTGTGCAGTTGGGGTCTTAACCTTCTATAACTAGTTTACTTGTACCCTGTTTGCCAAGTCCCCGGCGCATTTACGTGACTGGTATTGGTGCAATTGCGGTCAATCGGTACCTGTGTTTTGCAAATTTCGATCACTCGGGACCGATGTCTTTGCAATTTCGATCAATCGGGACCGGTGATTTTGCAGTTGTGGTCAATCGGGACCCATGTTTTTTTGAAATTTCGGTCAGCCCAGGACCGGTGTTTTCGCAATTGCAGTCAGTCGCGACCAATGTTTTCGCACCTGCGGTCAATCGGGACCATTGTTTTCATGTTTGCCGAGGTCTTAAACAACTGGCTCGACTAGACACCGCTTCAAACCCTAAACCCTAAACCCTAAACCCCCAAAACCTAAACCCTGCAATATCCAGGTTTCCAGGCCCGGCATGCGAAATCCCCACGATTTCCGAGGCATGATGGGCATCGCCGACGTACCAGTGGCATTGGCCTTGGGGATGGGGGTCTAGGGTTTAGGGCTTTAGGGTTTAGGGTTTGGGGTTTAGGGTTTGGGGTTTAGGGTTTGGGGGTTTAGGGGGTACCCTTTGTCCTACCGTTTGGTTTCAAAAAGGGAACCCACAAAGAAAAAGGGCAAAAGGTGGGAGCTCGATTAGGGAGACTTCTGGGGATCTAGACGCTCTCAGAAGGTCCCCTTTAAGAGAGCCAGAAGTAGGGTTCAGAAGGGTCCCCTGTAATTTACAGGGGTCTTCCTAAGACTACCTTTAGGAAACGGTGATGAGACATGACGTTTGAGGATGACGGGTCTGGGTTGCGGGTGTAGCCCGCAGTCCATCTTCCCTCCAAGCATGAGCGGAGTGTCTGCAAACACCTACAGTTCTATGATCTTTTATGTAGAAATAGGGAATAAAAATGTGTAGCCGCGACCGTTGACACGACAGATACCAACATAGACAGACAGACACCCACCTGGACAGAGAAAGGCCAAAATCTAGATATACATGAATTAACACATATTGGAACGAACACATGTAGACAAGTTCGAGGTGTCGACCCAATTCAACTTGCAGGCACGAACTTTATTTTCGTCTGCTGAGGTCCCAAAGACGACGCAGGTCGGCTCTAACATCCGACAGCAAAGGACAGACCTCGCGCCGAAAGCAGGCTTTTAATCCAACTCTGTCACAACAGCAGCACGCATAGTTCTAAGGTAGAACCCATGGGCCCCTAGTATGGGCCCTTAACCCTGGGACCCTAATATAGCTACTATATACCCTATATATACTCTTAAGGGACCCTAGAATCGCCTAAGGGCCTCATGTTAGGGGCCCATGGGTTCAGCCTTAGAATAGTGTGAGACCAGCTATGCAACGATGCATCTTGGCGCAATCGCTTCGTACGTTCGACGTCGAAGGAGGTCTGCGTTCCATCTGCCGCTCCTACAGCATTCCGAAAATCATCTCGCCCACGCTAAGCTCATGGAGGGCCTATAGTGGGCCTACGGTTGATGGACAAAATCCTGCATGACCTTATATACCTAAACTATGGGATTTATGGTACTATACTATGTTTGGGTCATGCAGAATTTTGTCCATCAACCGTATCACTCCAAAGTCTCCTTCACATCGACACGGTGCCCTACTCCGCGAAGAACTTGCTGGATCAGCGCACGGCCACCCAAAGCCTCGTCGGATCATGATTGAGGCAGGGGAAAGAGTTTAGGATTTGGGTGGTTGTCAAAATTATGATCCCTTTTTGGGTCCTTATAATAATATGGCACCTAATATTTAGGGTACCCAAAAAGGGACCCTAATTTTGACCACCACCCATTTGGGTAAAGGCCATCAAGAATCTAAGAAGCCGAAACGAGGTATGCTTTCCAGTTGCAGGTCTCTCGGGGGTAAAATTCGGCAATAGATTTTCAACTAAGTACACCATGTGAATCAAGGTTCTCTTCGGTAGGAGCTTGCTATCTGACTAAACCCTAAACCCTAAACCCCTAAACCCAGCGGGCACCCACATTGGAAAGCCGAGTCCCTGTACTCAAACGGCAGGTATCTAGTACAGGGGCCTACATACTTACCAACACTGCTTTGGGGGGGGGGGGGTTGCTTACTACAAGTTCCCATAGTCTCCCTTGTAGTTCCTGTCCGGGATTACCTTATAGGATTCGAAGTGGCCCCAACTCCAAGTATCTTCTTGGCTAAACCCAGAGATCCTGCAGTGGCAAGCCCAAAGCCCAAGCCACTCCATAAAGTCGAGCCCTAATAGGTGGTAGCGCCATTCTTGTACTGAGGGCCCCATGATACCGAAGGACTGTTCCATAGAGTGCTTCATTATATAATTAATTGTAGTATACTACAACACCAAAGCCTCATTCTAGTTATTATTATCGGGGGCCCCATGAAACCCAACGACCAAGGTTAAGGGCCTGCAGGGGGTCTAGAGTCTAGAGTGCGGTTGCTTCTTTCCCCAAACCCCTAACAGCCAACATCCCTTAACCCGAGAGCACCAAAACCCTTAAAATCCTAGTGTCCTATAAACTTCACAACCACGAAACTAAACCCTAAAACCCCAAAAAACCTGCATGCCGGCAACGCGATGAGCGAACCCACGCCGATGATCAGAACCATGCCCCAGTCACAACCGCCTGTCGTCTCGTGGTTGCTTGCGTTTAGGGTTTAGGGTTTTGGGCGTTTAGGGTTTTAGGGTTTTAGGGTTTTGGGATTTGGGGCTTTAGGGTTTTAGGATTTAGGGCTTTAGGGTTTAAGGGTTTAGGGGTTTAGGGCTTTAGGTTTTAGGATTTAGGGCTTTAGGGTTTAAGGGTTTAGGGGTTTAGGGTTTAAGGGTTTAGGATTTTAGGGTTTTGGGGTTTGGGTAGGGCTTTCAGGGTTTATGGTTTAAGGGTTTAAGGTTTAGGGGTTTGGGGATATTTAAGCCCCTAGATTAGAATGTGGGGATGTGGGTTTAATGTAGGGACCGTAACAACTAGACTAGGACTTTGGGCTCTTTCCTAGTATAACTAAAATCAGGAACCCTAAGAATAAATTGGTAATTACTTTAGCCGTTTCGGGTTTAATGTAGGGGCTTTAATAATTAGTATAGGGTTTTGGGGCCCATTATACGATAATTCTAATAAGGAACCCTCAAAATAGTATAAGTAATTAGTTAAATTTAGGCCCCTACATTAGGGCTTTAGGGCCCTGGGATGTCTGGGCTCAGGGGTATAGGGCACTCGGAATTGTGGGTGGAGGTCGTTTGGGTTCTAGGGTCTGGGGCAAAAATATAGGGTTTAGGGTTTAGGGGTTTAGGGTGTAGGGGTTGAGGGGTTTAGGGGTCTAGGGGTCTAGGGTTTAGGGTTTAGGGTTTAGGGTTTAGGGTTTAGGGTTTTAGGGTTTAGGTCTAGAGGTTTAGAGTTTAGGGGTTTAGGGGTCTGGGGCATAGAGTTTAGGGTTCAGGGGTTTAGCGTTTGAGGGTCTAGTTTAGGGTTTAGGGGTTTAGGTAGGGTTTAGGGGTTTAAGGTTTAGGGTCGAGGGCTTTCAAGCTATTGGGTTCCAGTGGTTAGTGCTCTGCACTACCCATAATAAGGCGAATATACCATAATTTCCATGTTTCAGGGTCCGTAAGGTAATGCAGGAATTATATCATCAACAGTAGTGTTGAGTTAATCTAATTCGGGGTTAGGCCCAGTGACAAGGGCTTTAGGATTGATGTAGCGTTATGTGTCCCCAGTTTTGAAGTAACTACCAATAGTCTCCATTGTAGTTCCTTTTTGGGGATGCCCTGTAAAATCCTGTGAATATATATTTGGTTAAACCAAAAAAAAGGAACTACAATGGAGACTATAGCTAGGGCTTATAGGCCCAGTGAAGGGGCCGGTTACAGGGTTTAAGACTTGCTGGAAAAACCTAGGCCTTATACTTAAAACCCAAAAACCCTACAGCCCTAAAACCCTAAAGCCGGTGCTCACCCTGGAGCCTAAAGCCAGAAGCCCCTAGCCCAACTGCTGCCTGAAAACCAAGCCCTAAACCCCTAAATTGGAGCGAGCCGGCAGAGAAAAGGGAGCCTGAGGGTGCACCTGCATTCCCCTTCGCCTCCTCGCGGAACCTTTTCAGCTCTGCAAGCACAGCAAAAACTGTTCGGTGTGTCCCGGGCTTAGTGTGTGTTTTGGAATCAAACTGTCTTGTGCTTGTTGCTTCGTTGTTTGAGCGTGGCTTCGCGTTGAGGGATATGTTATACCCCAGCTGTAGGATCATTGCAGGTAATTTCGTTTCCCATCTGATTTTATGGGAGCCAGACCTAAAACCTAAACTCTAAACCCGATAATGAAAGCCCGACTGGGCCGGCCCTAATTTGGAAAACCAACATTACCACCACATGCCCAAAGGGATATGGCGGGTGTCAAAAAACACTTGGGCTTGATGGTTGGAATAAGCCTTTGGGGTATATTATACTGTAAATATAATCAGGAACCAAAAGAAAAACATGGGTAATCATTCAAGCTTCTATTCTAGGGATTGTTGGTGGGTTTGCAAGCTTCAAACGTGGTCAACGACCCTGTAGGGCAGACGTTGTAGGCTTGAACCCTAGACCCTAGACCTTAACCCCAGTCGATAAGGATTGTCGTGCACCTTAAACTTATATTCAGGGCCCCTGTGCTATTTTCAATTTGTGGTGGGGATTCCAGAACCACTTGGGGTTGGTAGTGTTTGTCCGGCATCTTGGTGTTCACCTTTGGGGTTATAAGGCCTCGGGCTTTTCATTGGTAAGTTCAAAACGGTTTACGGCTTAAGAGCTTTAGGGTTTTGAGTTTAGGGTTTAGGGGTTTAGGGTTTAGATTTTAACTCCAACACTGCTCACTGTTACGCGTGAGCGTTGCCGGGTGTCTGTAGGCCCCCAACCCTAAGCCCAAGTACCCCAGACTGGCCCCAGACCCTGAACCCTTAACCGTGAACCCAACCCTAAACCCTAAACCCTAAACCCTAAACCCTAGACCCTGAACCCTTAACCGTGAACCCAACAGCGCAAGGGCGACAATTTTCCGCACACGATTGGGTGTCCCAGTAGTGTGGGAGGTTCCCGAGTCGGATTCAGGCTTCGTCTCGGGTCGGCCGACAGCATTCGATTGAACTCTTTGGTGAGATGGAACGGTACATCTGGCGTGGGCACGAGAGTCACTTCGAACTTCTTCTGAAGGGCTTTGCGAAGCTCATAGACCTTTTCTCTTGAAACGATCTCTTCATCGAGATTTAGCAAGATCGACACCAAAATCCATCGAGCAGAGTCATCTTTTGTCCAGTATTGCTCTTTCCGCGCCCCCCGTGGCGGCTGTCGCTCCTTGTAAGAAAACCACGCTGCTGCTGGGGCCAATCCGAACAACCTGCGATGCTTTTCCTCCAGTCGCTCGACCTCGTGCATGAACCGGTTTGTTGGCCGATCGCTCAAAGCATAAGGATGCACAAGAAGAAAGTTCCAAAAGTGCCAGCGTGCGGTGTCATCGTCTGACCAGCTCTCCGTTTCATGACCAATACACCTTAGACCGCGTTTCCTCGCAAGGAGTTGCTCGAACTCATCCACATTGAAAGCCCCCTTCCAGCGTCGTTTAGCGGCCTCTCTGCGTACTGCTGCACTGAGTGAAACCGAAACCGCCGCCTCTTGAACGACAGTCAAAGCAGACTCTCCTCCAGCCTCCTAGTTCATTGTTGGGGTAGTATTAAAAATTTACATTTATATTCCTTATTGGGTTTAAGCACCCTTAAAAATGTAAAATGTTACCCAACTATGACAAAGCCTCCAGCCTAAACCCTAAACCCTAAACCCTAAACCCCTCCTCCCCCAAAACGTCGTCGTCGCGGATGATGCACGCTCCCTTGGCCAGCCGTTGGTCAACGGCCAGGAAGCCTATGTTGCTCTTTAGGGTTTAGGGTTTAGGGTTTAGGGTTTAGGGCCAGGAAGCCTATGTTGCTCTTGGAGGCCCTTTGAAACAAACTGGCTCCTGGAAGTTACATACTTTTAGTATTAACTTTCTTGTGGTATATACATATATATATATATTTATATATATATATATATATTTATATTTATAATGTGTATATATATATATGTATGGGTTTCCTCATGTTTCTTCAACAGAAGAAATATGCTCTTAGGTAAATGGGTGCTGAAGAGAAGAGCCCAGAAGCGCCCAGCGGTCGCTCTTTCGATCGCCTCCTTCAACTGCCGCCCGGTGGAGTCCCCATTGCAACCTGGGCTTTGAAGTAACCAGAGAGAAGTAGGGTTTAGGGTTTAGGGTTTAGGGTTTAGGGTTTAGGGTTTTAACCAGGGAGAAAAAAGTATAGACTTTTATTTCATAATGGTTCCTTTAAGGAACAGGTCCCCCAAAAAAAGTATTAAAGTATGGTACTCCAAAGCCCAGCAACGGATGCTGCAGACGGGCCCATTTAGCCCGCGCACTTCCAGCAATACCATGGGCTTCAGCATTCGAAGCCGAGAGGGTTTGGGAAGCCAGAGGGTCCTAAGTACCTATATGGAGGATATTTGCCCAAACCATAACTGCAATTCCAACCCTGAACCCTAAACCCTACCATAGAGACCCTCCATTCTACTATATATGTACTTAAGACTTAGGACCCTTTGAAGGGAAGTGTAGGGTGTAGCCGTTGAAGATAGGGAGTTTGGTTTGCCGGCGAGGCTTTAGGATGTTAGTGGGGTTAAGAAGCGTTGACAGTTTCGGCCTCAGCATCTTAAGATAGATACAACCTGATAGAATACTGCATAGCATGATGACATGTTACCTTGCAAGTATTAAGATCTTATCCCAATATCTACAGGCATTTTACAGGGATCACACCCTAAACCCTAAACCCTAAACCCTAAACCCTAAACCCTGCTACGGAGTGAGTTGGGACGTGAGGCCTTAGGCCTTCACGGCTCGGTCCTCCCACGAAAGCGCAAGTTTTGAGCCCAGAAGCCAGAAGCAATCCAGAGTGGATGCTAAGGTTCGGAAAGCTTGAAACCTTGAACCCTAAAGCCCTATAATGTCGGGGCCGCAATAATTACCTATACATAATATACCCCAAAACCCTATTCTTACTATTTAAGGCCCCTACATTATGAGTTCAGGGTAGGGTTTAGGGTTTAGGGTCTAGAGGCCTTGCCGCCCTTAGAGAGGATAGCTCGGACATCTGACCAAGACGCTTCTCGCGAGCTTCCCGCATGGTTTTGGCGATGGCTGCCTGCCAGAATTTGGGTCTTCTTTAGGGTTTCGGGCGTAGGGTTGCGAGCAGGTTTACGAGGTTCACCTGGAACCATAAAAAGACCGTGCAAGACCCACCTTCTTCCCAAATACCCTTGCGCTAGAAAAGCTCAAACTTTGAGAATGAGAATCCCCTCAAATATTGATAAGTTGGGCTTAGGACCACCAAGACATTTTACGAGCCTTAACCCCGAACTTAGAGCCCGTATAGAGCCTTGAAAGAAACCCCAGGACGACTTGCTGGAGGAAGCCGCAGCGGTTCCAGCGCGTTGCCATAAGAACCCTTTATCATGAACCCAGAAAGTTGGAACACACGTTTAGGACAGTTTGTGCTGGAATTCCCAATTTCATATGAGGCAACGAGGATAATGATGTTCCAACTTTCTGGCCCCTAAACCCTATAAATCAAGGGGTTCCCTAGCCGTGCTACTTCGAGCAGCATGCTTCTAAAACTTGTGCATGCTACCTCGACCTTCTGTCTTGTTACGAGGCCAGCATCGACTGTCTGCAGATTTGCTGAGATTCGCTCGCTCATCTGCAGGTTTTGTTTGCTTTCAGCCGGGATTTTTCGAGCTTTTTCGCTGGGCACTGGAGCGGTTCGCGAACTTGAGTGCTCGTTTTCGAGATATCCTCCTGCATTCCTGCCCTTGGGTGACTTCGCCGACTTATTTCGATGCCGGACAGCCTCCAGAGAAAGTCGTCTGCTCTTGGGCTTTTTGGACTCTGGAGAGAGGCCTGAGCTTCTCGGATCCATGGCCAGCCAGGGTCTTCGGCTCATTTGATTATTTTAAACAGGAAATGCGGTTCCCCGGTTGTTTTGGCTGTCATCTGCGTGCTGCCTCGTCCCGTGCGTGCTGCCTCGTTCGCGTGCGTGCTGCCTGGTTTGCATGCGTGCTGCCTCGTTGCGTTGCGTGCTGCTTCGTTGTCCTGCGTGCTACCCGGAAATTTTGTGCACGCATGCTGCACGGCTGCACGCACCTGGCGGACACAAAACATTGAGGTGGCATGCACTTTTTTTAGAACGCAAGCGATTCTGCCTAAACCACCAAAACCCCCACGCATCTGCAAAAAAATGCGTGCTGCCTCGTTTAACATGACTGCGTGCTGCCTCAACATTTCCTGTCCCGCAGACACTCGCGTCAGGCGTGCCGCAGCGCGCTCGGACCGCGAGGTGGAATGCTGTTCCCAACCGCACCCGCAGCTCAGGATGCGAGAGGCCAAATGGTTCGCAGACAGACTGCAGTAGCTGCTAGAGCCC